ACATCTGTCTGAATATGGTTGTAGTTCCACATTTATTCCGATGGGAACGATTCCTTGGTTTAACGTTTTGTCGCGTGCCACACACACATATTTGTATTCCTATTTACAGTTATACTGTTGGTGAATAATCAATGTTATAGATGTTTACTATTTATCCAATTAAAAAATTGTAGGATGGCAGAAGGAGCAGACGACAACCACAGAAGACCGACTACAGTGACATCAGGAAGACCGAGGAAGTAAGCTGTTTTCCACTTATAAATAATGTGACCTTTATTGGACTTAAAATATTGACTGCATCCTAGTAGAAAAGTGAAGTGAATGGAAAAATGGTTCCCTGCAATTCGGATTTTTTTTTTTATGTTGGAACAAGAAATCCAGAAAAGAGATTATACATGTATTATTATTTCTTTGTGTGAAATAGTTTGTAATATACAGGTTACTATTTATACCAGTAAACTTTGTAATATACAGGTTACTATTTATACCAGTAAACTTTGTAATATACAGGTAACTATTTATACTAGTAAACTTTGTAATATACAGGTAACTATTTATACTAGTAAACTTTGTAATATACAGGTAACTATTTATACTAGTAAACTTTGTAATATGCAGGTAACTATTTATACCAGTTAACTTTGTAATATACAGGTAACTATTTATACCAGTAAACTTTGTAATATACAGGTAACTATTTATACCAGTAAACTTTGTAATATATCTGTTACTGTACTATTGTAGAGGTGTATTGTTGTAACAAAGTCGCTATAAGGCTTATATTAAAAATTGTTCAGTCAGTTTCAAATTTATTTTCAGCTATTACGCTTCGCAACGCATGAATTAGGAAAGGATGCAGATTGATAAGATAAAGAAGAAGAAGGTTATTAACAATGAATCCAGTCAGGGAATTTTTCTGTATTTATCCAATGGTTGCACAGTAGACATTTCAATCCGTCCAATTGTTGTCATTAATTTTGATAATTGTTCTTTTTTACAAGTGGTGTACATATGTATAGTGTGTGTGATGAAAATTAAGATGATCATTGTTTATTGAACATTAACCAGACTAAGTATATATAATTAATAAGGCAAATTGTGATTTAGTTTATAATATACTACTGCATTCCAGCAATTATGTACATTTCATGTTGGGGCGGGGGAGGAATACTGACATTCCTTCATAAACGTCCGTCTCTTTCCTAATTTAAGACCATTCTAAATAAAACAATAATTTAATGGTACACATGAGATACATTATCCGTGTTTTTTTTAAACACTTTCTGTTTCATGTGTTATGTATTACGGCTTGGCTGTGTGAAAATGTGTAACAAAAGTGTCTGTCTTCTTCAATCTTTATTACAGAAGTCCCCGAATTCACCTCCTTTAGGAGAGTTCCTAAAAACAGTAACAAACTTATCTCCCTTCGACTATACATTACATCATTATCTCTCTCACCCATCACATACCATACACAATAAGTCACCTCTGTCAGAGTACGATGTACTATACAACTCACTGAGGTTCCATTGACGATGCATCAAACAGATCAAAGATAACTGAGAATTGAAAGTGATACCACGCAACAATGTCACCGGAAACTTACTAACATATTGATAATGACAGATTGTTGCTGCTTTTTTCAACATTATGCAAAAAATGAAAAAGAACTTTACTGAGTCATAGTGGAGATGCCTGTCCGTCATACAACAAAGAAACAACCACCCAGACCAATTCTTGTCTTACAAAGAATCTTTGATATAGTCTGAAAGGTCCATCAACACAACAAGGTCATACAAAACCACACGGTAGAAAAGTGGTTAGAAAATGCTAGATTTGCTGAGAGACGTTTAAGTGAAAAGAAGTTGAAGAAAAAGAAGGAAAAGGTAGCACCCAAAGTGTGGCAATTATTTAAGCAGATGAATGTTGCGCTTTTTGTTGTCTCCAATATGTAGGTGTCGCGTGAGGATAAGAAAATCATCCGATTATGCAACTGAATAAGAAGCAACGAGGGTTTGGGAGGAGAGGACAATAGTTTTAAACGAGGACTTTCATAAACCAGTTGGAACTGGTTTGAAGAAATACTGCCGTCCGGCAGTGTTTTGCGAAAGAAGAGGATAGGTAAGTTAAGTTATTGGTCTCCAGGAAGAAAACTTGAAAGAATCGCTATTTGAACGAATCGTTCTGCCATCCCTAACACAAGACTTATTAAACAAAGTACACTTTACTGCTCTGAATCAGAAACATCCGAAAATGAACAGACGCAGTTCAGATTCGTTACATACATTTTCCCGAAGACACACCAAATATATTTACCATCCATGGTTGCATTAAGTTTGGCGCCAAATGTAACGAGATAGAAAGAAAAAAAAAATTACAACGACGAGACCATAGTTCAAAACTGTAACCACCGAACTCTAAACGGGTGCTAAATCGGCTACCATGTGACGGTGGATCGATCTCGTCCAAACTCTCGACAGGTGTAGTATGTAACAGATAGTGAGTATACGACCTGTCTGTATGTATGATGTGATCTCAGTAGGCTTTGTTACACGCACACGCAGTAATGGCGACAAATTTACAGATTCTTGGAGTATGTTGTATTCCTTCGTGTAAATGGCAGTGATGTCAAGGAAGTCCACTGAGAAATTTGAGTGAAATGTCTGCATCATATTTGTTCGAAGCATTGTTAGTGTTCAAAGACACTTTAACTCCCTATGCATTTGTATGTAAAAGATAAGCGTGGCAACCCCTCCCCCCACACCGCCCTCCCCCTCCAAAATCAAAAACAACCAAACAAACAAAACATCAAAACAAAATAATGGTTTTATAAGATTGCATTTTATTTGAAAAAAAATATATAAAACTTCATAGCTAAAGTTTAAGAACTTCAAAAATTACAGAAAACATAAAACTGAACGAAAGATGAATAAAAAAAAGAAACAAATGGATTGACATTCAATGTATGTGAAACAAGACATACCCAAGAGCAGTCAACACACGCAGACTAGAGATCGGGTGTTTAACACTGCCGGGGAAATAAACTTCGACACCCGGTTATGTCATGCGATAGATTGTTGATTATAGGTATCTCCACCAGGAGAAACGCCTTCTGTTCAATCTGGTCGAGAATCCGTCGACGACCTGGATGACACCGTTTGTGGCTGTCCGATCACATTCTGTAACGGTGGCACGGCCGATTGACGTAACGCCATACATGGAGCTCACTGTCAATAGTTCCCCATTAATAGGCCGTAGGTATGAAATGCCCGAGACAAACCAGTTTTGGATAGCCTTGCAACAAATAGTACCTGCAACAAGTCGTAAATAAAACGTATACAAATGTATACGATATCATTTTCTACATAGTACAAAAATACATTTATGTTTTCAAAGTAAGAAAGTAAGGGCAGCAATATGCAGGGCTTGTTTGTCCTATTAACAGCTATGGCCATTTAAGGTCGTGTCAGGTCTATAGCTACGGCCAGTACCTGGCACACCTCAAGCGCGCGACTCGGTGGTGGAGGGCTAGTGGTAGCAGAATGTCAGACGCCTTAACCACTTGGCCACCGCCACCCCCTTTCTATTCTTAAGTAGTAGTAATAAAATGAGGCATATATTTTACACACAAATAATAATCACTAGAAATTTGCAGTAAGTAAGCAATTTTGGCAACCTGCGAGGACTTAATGGTATTTTTATGCAGACTTGCTTGAAATACGAAGTGACTTACTTGGCAATTACAGTACGTGACTTTTAATGATGTGTGACTTACGTGGAATGATATTTGCAAATATCAGTTTTTCAATCTTCCGGATGTTGTTTTTTCGTAGAGCATCTACTATGTCCTCGGGTAAGTTGGTGATGGCCTGTGGAAACCAATGACAGTACGTCAATCAACGTAACCATTCGATTATTACAATCTACTCTTCGGTAAGAGACTTTGACGTGCCGAGTTGTTCTATACACTCCACTTCATCCAGGTGAAGTGTCATAACTTTAGTATGCAGAAAAAATGATTGATTCACAAAAAAGTAGCGCGATATGACTATACAACGTACCTCGTTGGTTAGAGCTAGGACAGTTAAGGGATCATCCTCATCTAGTCTCTGTTCCAAATTCGTCAGTCGTATTAACTCAACGAACCTGGAGAAACGGGGGTCCTGCCTGAGGGTGTGCATGATACTGCCACTAGGGGGAGTCAGCACCTGTCAATAAACAACGGGTAAACAGTTCACGAAGGTCCTTCTAGAGGGCTAGGTAGAAGATACTTGTAATTGTGGAAAGTGCAGAGAACTACAGTGTAGACGTAGTAAATTGAAACGTTTAAACTGCTTGTTGAAGGTTAAAAGGGTGATAGATACTTGTAGAAGATTTGAAATTGCTAGAAGTTTGAGGAAACTCCTAAAAGACTGGAGATATATACATTTAGAAGGTTTAATATAAAAGTATTTCAAACAAACTGAAACTGCCCCGTAAATTACAAAACAAACATTTTTAGGAGACTTAACTCGGGAAACCGCAAAGAGTACTTTACCTGGTCAACAAAATGGACGACACCGTTGCAAATTCTGGCGGAGCTGCTTACGATGAGGGCACATTGAGCATACCTGGGCGATTCATGTCGCTGAAGGCAGAGAGGAGATGAGTTATTACACATGGTAAGCCACCTTAACATTTATATAGAAAATGTCGCACAAAACTCTAAAAACAAATCATATGGAGTATGCTTTACAGCTTTTAGGGTCGATCCAAACTGAAGAGACTCTACAAACCAATTGTAAGTGAAAATGTATTATGGAAGTGCTTTCTGCTTCAAATTTCATATGTTTCATGATGGCTTATGTCAAATCTAAAAATACATCAGTCACTAACGGTCTACGAGCGACGAGGTCAACATTGCCGTTTGAAATCAGAACATGATTGCAACAGTAAAACATCTACAAAGTTAATTGGAGTTTTGCTACATTTATTCATCAAAGGTTGCATATATTTCTTAATTATGGTGTATGTAAGTTCATGTAGTGCTATGCCATGTACACTCCAAAAGCATGAGATTCATGCATGTATTACTGTCTCCGGAAGACACTACTTTCGTGTTATAGTGTGTTAGTGATCATTATTGTTATGGTGCAGGTATGGCGTGACTTCTTTTATTTCAAATTCTTGATTATAAAGGCGATGATAGAAGTTTGGTAAAGGACAAGATATAATCAACAATCAGAAGGTGACATTAAGGATCGAACATGTCCTGTGTTATCTCTTTTTTCTTCAAAATAATGCATTATATAAATACTTCAACAGATCAGTTAGCAATGGTCACAACGTAAACAGATACGCGCTGAAAATGATGCACAACTTTAACAAATCGGCTAGAAATGGCACAACTCAAACAGATAGTCTGTAAATGGTGCACAACAGATCAGCGCTTGAAATGGTGCACAACAGATCAGCGCATGAAATGGTGCACAAAAGATCAGCGCTTGAAATGGTGCACACCAGATCAGCGCTTGAAATGGTGCACAACAGATCAGCGCTTGAAATGGTGCACAACAGATCAGCTGAAAATGGTGCATAACTTAAACAGATCAGCTGGCAATGGTGCACATGCAGTTACAACTGCTGTATAGGAAAAATAACAATGAGTTGGGACAGGGGTCCTTAACTCGCTTTTAGATAAAGACCGATGCAGGGGTCTTGAGGTTACTGTACAAGATTAATTACCATCTCCGAGTACGTGTTGATGCGGATTTCCTTGCCTTCATTGAGGGTGCTCAGACGTTGATTGTTATAGAACAGTTTTGCCGGATTGACGCCGGAAGTGACGTGATAGGTAAGTAAATTCCTGAGAGCAGTCGTGTCGTTCATCAGGGCGTCAAGCACGGCTGGATTTAGATTCTGTTAATGTACATAATAGGTGATAATTATTATTAATTGTTGCTTCAATATACATGTTACATGTGTTTACAAATTAAATGTCACGCTAACAAGCCGTTTACCGTTCATTGTCAGTTAAAGTCGTGATAATGAAACATAAAGACAGAAAACGTAGATTCTTTATTTATCCACGTGATCAGGTCAGCTCGACTACTAGCTTATGTTCATGTTTTGTCAATAATAAGTAAGCATTCTTTCTAATGCAATAACAACTAACTCTACATGTGCACGATTAATCATCTCGGCTAATTTAAACCGATTCGGTTCTTTTATTCAGTAAAATTACCATTGACTTCACCCAACTGTGATTGAATGGTTTCGTTGAATGTTTTGTTTTTATTGTTGCCTTACTTGTAAATGTCTTATAGATGTCGACGGTTGAGATTCAAAATATAGCAACAACTGTTATTTGCCGTATATTATCAGCTAACGCATACTTACTGATAGTGCTTCACTTGTCGGTGCGAAAAACGTGACTTCCTCCGCGTTCCGTAAATCATTCTCCAGGCCTGCGCGACGAACCAGGTCCAGCAGCGCCGGAACTTGATTGTTCATAATGTCCAACACACCCATAGCTGAAAATAGAAACAGGCCAACCTAGGTCATGACAGGAATTTCTTTGCCAATGAACCTAAGTATGGGGTTTCGCCCACCAGAAGAGGCTGCGAACGCCAACAACGCTTGCGCCTCTTTCTTGTATCAACAAATTTAATGTAACTGGGTTGCTAAACATTTTCCGAAAGCGACAAAAAATACCAGGAATCATAAGTTTACTCTTCAAATGAATACTGTTACTGCTGATGATGGTTATACTAGGTTAAGGGACAGGGCAACAGAAGGGCTGGTAACAAAGATAGGAGGACAATGTATGTGTAGGTAATGTCTTTCGCTGGAACACGCGAGAGTACAACCTACCGCGGTCCATGAAGAGGACTTGATCGATCAGGTGGATGACGCCATTGGTCGCCATGATATCCGAGGCAACCACTTGATGGTCCTGAACAAAGAGCTTGTCGTCCTCGTCCCGTGTGAGGTACAAATACGTGTCGAGCAGGTTCCGTGTCCTGGACGGACCCTGAACGGCGGCGGAACAAATCACGTTCGGAAGTATGTGGTTCTGCAGCACCTCTTGAAACAGATAAAGGATAGAGTGGATGCCACCTATTTTTTCAGTCAAATTACGCCAACCATATTAAGGTGTTTGGGCTCTTACAAAGTGTATGCAAGTTTATCGAGCCCATATTTATGAAACCGTTCTCATGTTCAAATATGGTTTTTGTGCTCCAGCCTTATTTCTTGTTCCGGTTATGAATTATTAAAATATCTTGTCTTGTCCTTGATTTGGAAAAAAATTGATTGGACTGAACGCATAATACTGTATTGAGTGTTAATAATTGACTTTTTGATCGTCTGACATGATGTAAGTCAGTAACAAGAAAGCTGGTTTGAGCACAGAAGCCATGCTTGAGCATGAGAACAATTTCATGAACGGGCCCAGAACTTATGACGGTATATGAAAGGGTTAAGGTATCTCAGCTGTGGTACAAATATTTATATAAATAATCGTACCTTTGAGACATGTTGATTGGTTGAAAATCCTATCGAGCACACCTCCGTCAAGTTGACGGAACGCCGCGTCGGTCGGGGCGTATACGGTGAAATGTCCATCCTCCCGCAATGCCGAGCTTAGTGCGGTACGTCCAAGTGCTACCAAATGAGATCAAAGCGTAATATATTGGTACATCACAAATAACCTATCAAAGAATCATTTAAGAAAATGATGCTACTAATACATTAAGAATGCGGTCTATACGATATGGCAAGCCAACATAACAATCATTTCCCAAAAGAGAGGATCGCAAACTGTTAGATATATTTAAAGGAAATAAAGATGTATTTATAAGCAATATAGTTACTTCTTATAATCATGATTATTTGAGATATATGTTTTGTGAATAAGATACGTCAGGTTAATAGTGATATCTCTATTAGATTAGGAAATATTTCTGAAGTACAAATGACTATGAGGAATCATTTCCCCACAGAATTGCCTTAATAGGAACACCTATTGATGAAGTCTCACCAGTTTTGAGGTAGGTGAGATTAGGGTCCTTGGAGATAATTTCAGTGATGGACTTCGTGACAGGGGACAGCACTTGATCCACCATGTGGATGACGCCGTTGGTCGCCATGTTGTCCGCTGACGTCACTCGCTGACAGTTTGCCAGCATGACCTTTTATAGAGCAGTATTAGAAACGTAAAGTATGCAATATTCAAATTAGAGAAAATTGTTATGTGACATACTCTAACGTACCTATACAAAATTATTGCAGATTTAAGGACTACAAAGTATGTAAATGATTTGACCATTCCCAAAGTATGTAAATGATTTGACCATTCCCAATGTATGTAAATGATTTGACCATTCCCAAAGTATGTAAAAGATTTGACCAGTCCCAAAGTATGTAAATGAGTTGACCATTACCAACGTCCGTAAACACTGACTATTCTCAAAGTGAATTCAGTCACCATTCCGAAAGTACGTATCATGACTATGTTTGGCATATATTTCCTTGATTATCCTTAATACAAATACTTTCACCACTGCATTAAATCGCCATAGTAAATACAGTGACCATTATCAAAGTATCAAAATAGAAGCTCATCTTCTTCATTTAGACCGCAAACACACGATATTATGTTTGTAACATTAACGAGAAATCTACTACAACATAAACATCGTCAACCTACCTTGGTATCGGTGTTATCGTAAAAGTTGATACGAATCTTTGAGTTTAATGGGCTGAGCGTGGTGATCAGCTGTTCATCATGCATTGACGAAGTTGTGATGACGTCAGTGGTCAGATGTCCTAACATAACACCGGTTACCTTCGCGGTCAGCTTTTCTATCATCGAATCAGACACTATCAGAACGGATCCCATGTCCTTCATAAAATATACAATAAACTGTCACATCATGTCAAATAAATTTGTCAGACAAAACATATCAAACAAAAGAAAACTCATGTTCTACAACAGATAACCCGTATACAGCATACACCCATGTCTTACAAGTACAAATCCATATATAACATCAAACAACCAATATCTTACAACGGATAACCCTACATAACATTAAACAAGGACATAACCCTACATAGCATTAAACAAGGACATAACCCTACATAACATTAAACAATCCATGTTCTACAATTGATAACCTTACATAACATTAAACCCATGTCCTACAACTGATAACCCTACATAACATTGAACAGACCATGCCCTACAGCTGATAGCCCTATATAACATTTAACAACCCATGTCCTACAACTGATAACCCTATATAACATCAAACAACCAATAACTTACAACGGATAACCTATATATAACATTGAACAACCCATGTCCTACAACTGATAACCCTACATAACATTAAGCAACCCATGTCCTACAACGGGGATAACCCTACATAACATCAAACAACCAATATATTACAACGGATAACCTATATATAACATTAAACAACCCATGTCCTACAACTGATAACCCTACATAAAATCAAACAACCCATGTCCTACAATAGATTACTCGTATACATCATCAACCAACCCATATCTGACAACAGATGACCCATATAAAACATAAAAAACAACATGTTACAACAAATAGCCCATATGTAATATTAAACAACCCATGTCTAACAACAGATTTCAGCATACCGTATACAGCAACAACCCAGGTCTTTCAATAGATAACCCATGGCAAACAGATGACTCGTATACAGGAATATAAAGCATTAACTTATGTTCTTCAACCCGTATTAAACACCAACCAAAGTCTTCCACCAGATAACCGACAGGACCATCAAACAACGCATGCCTTACGACAGATAACCGACAGGACCATCAAACAACGCATGCCTTACGACAGATAACCGACAGGACCATCAAACAACGCATGCCTTACGACAGATAACCGACAGAACCATCAAACAACGCATGCCTTACGACAGATAACCGACAGAACCATCAAACAACGCATGCCTTACGACAGATAACCGACAGAACCATCAAACAACGCATGCCTTACGACAGATAACCGACAGAACCATCAAACAACGCATGCCTTACGACAGATAACCGACAGAACCATCAAACAACGCATGCCTTACGACAGATAACCGACAGAACCATCAAACAACGCATGCCTTACGACAGATAACCGACAGAACCATCAAACAACGCATGCCTTACGACAGATAACCGACAGAACCATCAAACAACGCATGCCTTACGACAGATAACCGACAGAACCATCAAACAACGCATGCCTTACGACAGATAACCGACAGAACCATCAAACAACGCATGCCTTACGACAGATAACCGACAGAACCATCAAACAACGCATGCCTTACGACAGATAACCGACAGAACCATCAAACAACGCATGCCTTACGACAGATAACCGACAGAACCATCAAACAACGCATGCCTTACGACAGATAACCGACAGAACCATCAAACAACGCATGCCTTACGACAGATAACCGACAGAACCATCAAACAACGCATGCCTTACGACAGATAACCGACAGAACCATCAAACAACGCATGCCTTACGACAGATAACCGACAGAACCATCAAACAACGCATGCCTTACGACAGATAACCGACAGAACCATCAAACAACGCATGCCTTACGACAGATAACCGACAGAACCATCAAACAACGCATGCCTTACGACAGATAACCGACAGAACCATCAAACAACGCATGCCTTACGACAGATAACCGACAGAACCATCAAACAACGCATGCCTTACGACAGATAACCGACAGAACCATCAAACAACGCATGCCTTACGACAGATAACCGACAGAACCATCAAACAACGCATGCCTTACGACAGATAACCGACAGAACCATCAAACAACGCATGCCTTACGACAGATAACCGACAGAACCATCAAACAACGCATGCCTTACGACAGATAACCGACAGAACCATCAAACAACGCATGCCTTACGACAGATAACCGACAGAACCATCAAACAACGCATGCCTTACGACAGATAACCGACAGAACCATCAAACAACGCATGCCTTACGACAGATAACCGACAGAACCATCAAACAACGCATGCCTTACGACAGATAACCGACAGAACCATCAAACAACGCATGCCTTACGACAGATAACCGACAGAACCATCAAACAACGCATGCCTTACGACAGATAACCGACAGAACCATCAAACAACGCATGCCTTACGACAGATAACCGACAGGACCATCAAACAACGCATGCCTTACGACAGATAACCGACAGAACCATCAAACAACGCATGCCTTACGACAGATAACCGACAGAACCATCAAACAACGCATGCCTTACGACAGATAACCGACAGGACCATCAAACAACGCATGCCTTACGACAGATAACCGACAGAACCATCAAACAACGCATGCCTTACGACAGATAACCGACAGGACCATCAAACAACGCATGCCTTACGACAGATAACCGACAGGACCATCAAACAACGCATGCCTTACGACAGATAACCGACAGAACCATCAAACAACGCATGCCTTAGGACAGATAACCGACAGGACCATCAAACAACGCATGCCTTACGACAGATAACCGACAGGACCATCAAACAACGCATGCCTTAGGACAGATAACCGACAGGACCATCAAACAACGCATGCCTTACGACAGATAACCGACAGAACCATCAAACAACGCATGCCTTACGACATGCATGGAAGGTCAATGAAAGTCTTAAAAATGAAGATTTTCAGGATGATCGCTCGCCTCCGCTGTTTTCTAGTCTGGCCTTACATCACACTAAACTTACCTGTCCGAATTCAGAAAATGCGTCATTGGTTGGGGCGAACACTGTGAAGTTTCCGGTCACCAGGTCATCTGTTAGGTCGACGCTGTGTGCAGTCTCCAGGAACTGCTGTAGTCCAAGGCTGTGGGCGGTGTTGTTCAGACTCTGCAGGTGAACCTCTAACGACAACAAATAACAGTAGGATTTACATAGGATGTATCCTTCATCTATATATACAACCGACTGACTTAGTTTACATAGCAGTGTTTGTACATGTACCTCTACCTCAGTATATCGCCAACATGTAAAATGTATAAATGGATACCCATTGCAACCTGAATGATAAAAATATTTAGTGTGGAGGCCATAACTTTATTTTGATGTTATATATGGATATTTTATGTTCGAACTTAATTTTGAGATAAAAGGTCTTTGCATGAAGTTGCCTTTGGGTCACAGCTGAAAAAAGGATTTCGACTTCGTTCTCATTCGAGCTTACTATTGCGAAGCTCTTCTCACAGAAATTATAAATTACATTACGAATTTATAGGAGATTATCTACGAGTAATGCCGTTATACACTGTACTTGACCACTGCCTATACTAACCTTTCGGACACCCATAGTCTGTACTTTTTCTTGTGTAGCCTTTACAACATTTCTTGGCCATTGTTGTAGTCGTATCGATTCCTCCCATAGTTTTACTGAAGCAAAACCAACCATTTAGTCAAAGGTTTCATAAAAACAGTTTTTTTTTCTCTCAAATCAGGTATTCATGAATTTTTACCTATTTTCCTGATATAACGTGCTATTACAACTTTTTGTTTTATAAATCACAACTAAAGACATTGACTGTTACAAATGTACTTTTTTTCGGTCTTGCAGAATCAGCATAATATAACTTATAGTTTTAACCCCTAAAACAATGTGTTTAATAGTCATCTGTGTGTAATATGAGTATGACAGTGCGGTTAAAGTTTGTAAGTTAAACCGGGCTAGGTTAGCCGAGGTAAACCACGTTAGATTCTGTTTGTTTGATGAACCGGGTCATTTTTTTTTTTACTTTACCGTAATAGATTAGTTTGAAAAATATGGTAAGTTGCCTGTTAAAAACCTGATATAAACCTATTTAGGTACATGTATGAGTCATATATGTATGAGGTACATGTATATGTATGAAGAGGCCTCTGTAACCCCCAGAGAGACTCTACATAAGTTGCGGTGAGTTTGCATATGTAGTGTAAACTAATTCATACCGATAGCCTTAGTTACGTCATACTCTTGGTGTATAAGTACTTACGTATGTACGCATTTGTAGACTGTTTCAGTTACGTCACACGATTCTGACACGCTGAACGTATGGTGTTCGTTCTCCACATCCAACGATATTTCGTCATTCCTCTCTCGGGGATCGTCGGACGTGTTTGTCTCGCAAACGTTCGGGCTGTATAAATACAAAATAACAAACCAATCTATCTGTCTATCCAACATGATTTAATTGGAGTGTTACGAACGAACATTCTAACATACCTTGTACAGAAAAGAATACACCTATAATCACAATATCTTTATATTTGTTTTTCAGAGGTAGTTATCTTATACACAAGTGATGTGACTGTACACTGAGGTATACACTAGACATGTGACTGTACACTGAGGTATATACTAGAGATGTGACTGTACACTGAGGTTTATACTAGAGATGTGACTGTACACTGAGGTATATACTAGAGATGTGACTGTACACTGAGGTATATACTAGAGATGTGACTGTACACTGAGGTATATACTAGAGATGTGACTGTACACTGAGGTATACACTAGAGATGTGACTGTACACTGAGGTATATACTAGAGATGTGACTGTACACTGAGGTATATACTAGAGATGTGACTGTACACTGAGGTATATACTAGAGATGTGACTGTACACTGAGGTATATACTAGAGATGTGACTGTACACTGAGGTATATACTAGAGATGTGACTGTACACTGAGGTATATACTAGAGATGTGACTGTACACTGAGGTATATACTAGAGATGTGACTGTACACTGAGGTATATACTAGAGATGTGACTGTACACTGAGGTATATACTAGAGATGTGACTGTACACTGAGGTATATACTAGAGATGTGACTGTACACTGAGGTATATACTAGAGATGTGACTGTACACTGAGGTATATACTAGAGATGTGACTGTACACTGAGGTATATACTAGAGATGTGACTGTACACTGAGGTATATACTAGAGATGTGACTGTACACTGAGGTATATACTAGAGATGTGACTGTACACTGAGGTATATACTAGAGATGTGACTGTACACTGAGGTATATACTAGAGATGTGACTGTACACTGAGGTATATACTAGAGATGTGACTGTACACTGAGGTATATACTAGAGATGTGACTGTACACTGAGGTATATACTAGAGATGTGACTGTACACTGAGGTATATACTAGAGATGTGACTGTACACTGAGGTATATACTAGAGATGTGACTGTACACTGAGGTATATACTAGAGATGTGACTGTACACTGAGGTATATACTAGAGATGTGACTGTACACTGAGGTATATACTAGAGATGTGACTGTACACTGAGGTATATACTAGAGATGTGACTGTACACTGAGGTATATACTAGAGATGTGACTGTACACTGAGGTATATACTAGAGATGTGACTGTACACTGAGGTATATACTAGAGATGTGACTGTACACTGAGGTATATACTAGAGATGTGACTGTACACTGAGGTATATACTAGAGATGTGACTGTACACTGAGGTATATACTAGAGATGTGACTGTACACTGAGGTATATACTAGAGATGTGACTGTACACTGAGGTATATACTAGAGATGTGACTGTACACTGAGGTATATACTAGAGATGTGACTGTACACTGAGGTATATACTAGAGATGTGACTGTACACTGAGGTATATACTAGAGATGTGACTGTACACTGAGGTATATACTAGAGATGTGACTGTACACTGAGGTATATACTAGAGATGTGACTGTACACTGAGGTATATACTAGAGATGTGACTGTACACTGAGGTATATACTAGAGATGTGACTGTACACTGAGGTATATACTAGAGATGTGACTGTACACTGAGGTATATACTAGAGATGTGACTGTACACTGAGGTATATACTAGAGATGTGACTGTACACTGAGGTATATACTAGAGATGTGACTGTACACTGAGGTATATACTAGAGATGTGACTGTACACTGAGGTATACACTAGAGATGTGACTGTACACTGCGGTATATACTAGAGATGTGACTGTACACTGAGGTATACACTAGAGATGCGATTGTACACCGAGGTATATACTAGAGATGTGACTGTACACGGAGCTATGTACACTGAGGTATACACTAGAGATGTGACTGTACACTGAGGTATATACTAGAGATGTGACTGTACACTGATGTATATACTAGAGATGTGACTGTATACTGAGGTATATACTAGAGATGTGATTGTACGCTGAGGTATACACTAGAGATGTGACTGTGGGATATACATATGTCTTTACTTACCCATCCCACCAGTTTTGATTATTTCCGCCAATATTTAAACTGAATTGAACGCCCGGCTTGTCCAAGCCGTATTTGAACCTAAAACTAAAAGACATTTTGAGTTTAAATTGGCTAAAAAAGATATTTTGTGATAACATGAGTGTTTCAATAGATTGCTAAAAAGATATACGATGAACTACCAAATTCCTGAAGGGGTCAACCGGTTTTGTTGGGGAATAATGCGACAAAAAAAATCTCAAAAAGAAGATATGAACATAGATACAATGATGTACCGAAACAATTTTAATTTCATACTTGATTTTGACTGAAACAATAGCTGAAATCCAGAAATTCATTCAATTGTTACACTTGTATTTTAACATCTGTGAGTTTTTGACAGATTGTGTCGAGGGAACAGACCGGAGGACCTTGAAATTTCTTACGTAACGTTCATATATGTTATCTAAAAAACTATATGTTTCTCTTTTGAATTCTTCTTTCCTGTTTCCAATCTGGGTAACAATTGTCATGAGCTATGACATCACAATGGAAGATGGCGTCACAAAGTATTGTTATTGGACGTTATAGTTAGAAGATTGACCGATGAAATAACGTCCGGGCTGTACCCACCAGTGGGTAACCAGATATCCAATGAGTCGGGAGTGAGGAAACCAATACTGGTTGTGGGAGACAGAGAAAAAAAGTTTACAAAGACAATGATACGGAGGTGATCATTGACGACAAAATTTAACTTCTCAGTTCCAGCGAGCACTGCCGCTACCAAGGCATCCAATCATGGTAACTTAGCTGTATTTCATGCATTTGCATTTTTGGGGTCGACATTTCGACATCGAGAGCTTTCCTCTCTACTCGAATATGGGGATCATTGGGGTGTTATTTCTACCGAAAGTCGATCTGAACCCCTAAAACATGTGAAATTACTCTAAACACCTTAGTTTAGGTCCAACTATAGCTGTAACAAATTCTCAAGTCCCTGTGGTATGAAAATCTAACATGACTCTATATACTGAAGATAAAGGACGGAAGGTAAAACGGCAATGGAATGAGTACAACGGAGAACAACGAAACGGGTAAGAACTTTGCAAGGAATACCGTACTTGCCAAGCTAAAATTTACCGACCGTGCCGGCTTTATTTTCAACAAAATAACTAATAATTAATACCACAATAAGAACAAATTTAAGTGTAATGTTGACAGTGTGTGCAGTTTGTTTCCAGGTATACTATTGTTCATCATACACACGTTCAGTGCTCAACGGCTGGCTATTCTTCCATACGCATTGCATTTTAAAACAACGAGTGCCGAATTGGTTAGGGATTATTGCTCCGCCACTTAGCCAAATATATATGGAAGCTTATCAAGTACGATGTATTGTTAATAATTCTAATTATAGACATACTTGAACATATCTATTATAACATATTACTGGTAAGTAATTGTATAGTAATTATTAACCACGTATGAGCAGCCGGAAGTCAAATAAGTCGGTGTAAGAGGGCTGGTAAGGGTAAGGGTCTATCAGCCATCAACACTGACTTGGGGAGGGGATCTCTAAGCCCCAATACAAGCTGAGATTTCCTTAGAAGCTATTGTAGCGAAAGAAAATACGTCACTTATTTCCGTTGTGCAATAGCAACATTCCTGTATGTTAATAAGTGATCTGATGAAGGACATTGTGTATACATTTATATACATGTTATTTATTTATTTAAGTTCAAAAGTTCGTACAGGCGTTGAAACTAACATTAGGCTGCACGTATTATTTCAGTTTTGGGGATATTCTATGCATACTTAGTGATATTTCATTACTAATAACCTGGATGAGTTCATAAAGAAACTTAACAAAGAAGTTGAACTTGTCTCAAAACGCATCAAGTTTGAAATCAATGTATAACGAGGAGATAGGGGAGTTTGCGATTTCTACAGAAACAACTAGTTTTTAACTGAAAATGGTATGCAATAAATAGCTGTACCTGACGACATTATTTCTCTTGCAGAAGGTGTAGTAATTTGTGACTGATGTCGATATTTACCTTGTAAATAATGTGTAAATTACAACACAAGTAAACATTTCTGTGCAAATACATATTTTGTTACTGTCTCCAATAGTGTATACCTTACGACACATGTCAAAATCACGTGTGCGCATAAGGCAGGTATTTATTTCACAGTAGGGTTAAATTTTCAAAATGGCAGAAGCTGCAAAATATATAGTGGTTTTTTTTGCAGTTTATAAACAATTGGTCTAGTTAGAGATACACGTGCAACCTCATAAATTCGTTGTAATCGGTTTATGATATGTCAACATGGACCGAATGGGAAAATGCGTACATATAAATCTATCTATGTCATATTTACCACCTACATATGTAGGGAATCCCCGAGGATTCCACGATGTTTACACGCATTGCTTAGGAACACGCGTGACGTCACTTCCTTCAATGTACGATTTCAGTTACATTCATGTCATACTGTACTTGCGTCAATGTTTGCAAGTTTCTCCCCCTGAATGTATAATTGAATACTCTTACTTAAACACGTCAAAGACTAGTAATAAAACCTGCTTCTCAG